AGTAGCATTTTAGTCATCAAAGCATAACATAAGTAGCATTTTAAATTTACAATATTAAAGTAAACAATATATGATTACAACATAACAAAGAGGAATTGTGTCCACTTCTCCTTAAATACATACACAGCTTATTCAGGTGATGGAAAGTTCAAATATCTAAACAAAATATTAAACTGTTGATGAATTTGCTACAACTCAGTTAAGATTTGATCTTGGCGTTGTTCAAGTCGATCTTATCGTTGTTCAAAACGTTATATCCGAGTCACTATGTTGTCAATAGATGAGGGAGATGCTTGCTCTACTGGAGGTGATTCCTTAAAGGGACTAGTTGGAAGAGATTGATTACTCCTAAAAATTAGTATTTCAGGTTCTAGTTCAGGTTAGAGGGGATCAGTCCTTCTAGATAGTCTAGTCCATAAACCATTTCTAAATGTGCATCTCATCCGTCGAAGTAGATTTCTATTTATGATACTAAATCTGTCTAGTTTTATAATTTCTTCGTCGGGTGGAATGGCAATATCATAGGCATGGAGTAGTCTTGTGATTAAGCCACCATATGGAAGCATCATATCCTTTTTTGATAGTTCAATCATGTTTTGTTGGATTAGGTAACCAAAACAATTGTTATGTCCCTTCATAATCCAATACATGATACCTAGTTTCATTTGACTTACTTCATTATGATGATATTACTTAAGGAGAATTATACTTATCAAGATGTGATGAAGTATTTTGGTGCTTAAAGGTAGTAAATATTCACAGCTTTTTAGAAGAATCGTTAAGTTAGGATTACCAAAAATTGTTCCTAAGGCATCAATGTAAGTAGTCCCAACTATTTCATCATCCCATTGTCCTCTAAAATAACACCCTCTTTCTTTTACCGGAATTTTTATGATGTTGCAAATGGTTCTATCCTTAATGGGTATATAATGTCCTAATAAATAGGTAGATACCCTTTCATCTTTATCTACATGTAAATTATTATAAAATAGCCTAACAAGTCTAGGGTAGATAGGTTCACTCATTTGAAGGATTGGGAGAATGTCTAGATTTGCAAGCCATTGAATAGGTTCCAAATCACTTAATTCATCTAAATCAACATATTTTCCCTTATGAACATGTCTAGACTCTATGGATGAAAATTTTATGGCATGTTGATTAGAATCGAAAAGTATGGAGTCATAATTTTCATCTAATCTCCTCTTCCTTTTGTCCCTAGAGGATCTTCTAAAACCCATTAAAACTACAATAATGAAGGCAAATAAGGAGCAAGAACAAGTAATACAAAGGAGAATCAATTTGGTGTAGAGATTACCTTAGTAGTTTTCCTTTCTAGTGATCTTTCAAAGAATGTTAGAGATTGATCCTTGATTTAGTTGGAAGTGGGGATTTTTGGGTTGCTAGAGGGAGAGCAATGGGTTTGGAGCTGTTTGGAGGAGTGCAAAATGAGTTAGGGTCGGTTCTACCGTCGGCCCTAACTTGGGGTTTATAAGGGGCAGATTGCGAGCGGTGGCATCGCTAGCTGGGCGATGCTACAGCCTGCCACCCGTGACCACTGGTGGTGCCACCGCTAGTTGGGCGGTGCTACCGCCTACCACCCATAACAACTAGCGGTGCTACCGCTAGGTGGGCGGTGCCACCGCCTACAGGCAGTGAGCACTGCTCACATAGTTGTGTGGGGGAAGGGGGGTGACATCAACTTTATCATATAAAAATCGCATCATAAGAAAAGAAAATTCATATTGAAGACTCTACGTTCATGATTCATCATATAAAATGCATACCATACTCAAACGTTATATTGAACTTGTATTGTAAAATGCCTACCATAAGTTCATGATTCTTCATTTGTAATGCAAACATCATAAAAACTCGTATGGAAAAATGCATATGGCTCATTGCACACACTATAAGATCATGATTCAAGTGAGTGATCAAGAGAGTCTGAGACCTAAAATTAACAAATTCATGATCTTGTTAGATAGAATTCGATCCGAAAAAAAATTTAGGAGGGAATGTATCCTAGAAATTTAGAACTCCGGAAGAAGTTAGAAAGGGAACTTGTGCATAAGAATTTTCAGGTTTGAGGGATCAAGATCAAGTGTTTATCACATAAGATTTTAAATAATCATTGCATCATGATCTTATAAGTATCATTTTGTAACTAACAGTTTTAATTCTTATGATCCCCTTTTTATTATTTTGGCTAAAGAGCTTTATAGGTTATTTTGGATCTTGGGTCATAAGCCTTGAGCATCCAAAATCAAAGTATCATCTCTTGCTCCTAACTTATGATGGTACATTTTTCTACAGAAAGAGATGATTTTTAGGTATCCATTTGACCTTGGGTGCTTCAAAAATCGATCTACATAGTTTATCATGTTACATTGAGTCATTTGAGGTTCTTTTAGAAACCCAAATTAATTTGTGGACTACATTTCTTGAATGGACAATGATAAGCTACATACCCAAATTTGCAACAAAAGTTACATTTCTTTTGGGGTGAGACATGTAAAGTAGGGCCTTTAACAAAGGTGGTTGGATTTTGGTGAGAGCTACTCACGAATCCGATTTCGCCTTTTCTATGAACGCGACCCTTGTTGGCAAGGATCATGTTCAAGGAATTGCTACCAACCTTAAATTTTTTTAAGGTTTCCTTGAGTAACAAGTTGTCCTTTCTAAGTGTTTCTAGTTCATCACATTTTGTACATTGAGCTAAACTATCATTGTGCTTAACTTTTAAACTATTGAAATCATTAACAAGAGAAGCATGCTCCCTTTTTAATAATTAGTATTTTCTACTAATTAATTTATATTCATCAAATAAATCATGAAAAGTATTTAATAATTCAACAAAGGATAAATTTGCATCAAATGAACTTGTTACCTCATCTCCAATGGTCATTAGTGCATAGTAAGCAACTTGCTCGGTGATGGTAGGCTCCTCTTCTTCGGATGCACTTGAGTCGTCCCATGTAGCTTTGAGAGCCTTTTTCTTTGGTTGCCTCCTCTTTGCTTGGGGACATTCACTCTTATAGTGTCCCTACTTCTTGCATTCATAACAAATCACTTGTTCTTTCTTAGGTTCAAATTTATTTTTAGTATTATTTTTAATTTTTTTTTTTATGAATCTTTTGAACTTCTTTGTTAAGTGTGCCAAGTCACCATCCAAGTCCTCATCACTTGAGTTTTCTTTCAAGTGGTCTTCTTGTGTTCTCAGTACTATGTCCTTTCTATTCTTTGGAAGGGTGTCCTTAAGCTCTTCATGAGCTTTACATATCATTTTATAGGTCATTAGTGACCCAATTAATTTTTCAAGAGAAAAATTATTTAAATCTTTGGCCTCTTGAATGACCATTACTTTAAGATCCTAACTTTTTGGAAGGGATCTTAAAATCTTATTAACCAGTTCAAAATCTGAGAAACCTTTACCAAATCCTTTTAGACCATTGACGATATATGTAAATTGAGTGTACATGTCTTCAATAGTCTCACTCGGTTTCATTCGAAACAACTCATAAGAATGCACTAAAAGATTAATTTTTGACTCTTGACTCTACTAGTGCCTTCATGAGTCACTTCGAGTGTGTGCCAAATGTCAAAAGTCGTTTCACAAATTGATACTCGATTAAACTCATTTTTATCTAATACACAAAATAAGGCATTCATAGCCTTTGCGTTTAAAGCGAAAGTCTTCTTCTCCAATTCATTCATTCCAATCGTTCATTGGAAGAGAAGACTTTTGAAAGTAATTTTCTATAATATTTTATAATTCGAAATCTATTGAAATTATGAAGATTCTCATTCTAGTTTTTCAATACGTGTAATCCGCCCTATTGAATATGGGTGGACGTGTAATTGAATGACCCTCTAGGTTGCTGTCAAATGTCATCTCTCTTGGGTTTAAAACTAAATAAGAGGGAACATACCAATTGTTAGGATCAAGAGTGGTACAAAGAGCGGGGTAAATTAGTGCAGCGAAAAACATTTATGATTTTAAAAGATTTATTTCAATTAATACTGATTCCGACGAAAACGCTTTATGTCCTCCTCTCGCTGAGCCCACCCTTCTCAATTGGACTCACCAAACTTGCATAAAGAAGACGCCTCGAAGGTCTGATTCGGTGCCATCTCAAATGGTTCCGGGTATGGCCGGGTCCCGCTGCCGTCACCCACCCACGCAGAGCTGACTTGGCGACAGCTCCCTTGGGCGGTGGAGGCGGGCCCACCACTTGGGAACCTCCCGCTCGACGTACGAGGACACGCCACATTTGAGGTTCTCCACCGACCGGTCAATTCGGCCACGTCAGTCGCAGATCGGAAATTTCAATGCATGCCCGACGCGTCTTTTGTGTGTGTTTTTGGCTCGGCGGTGCGTCGAGATCGTGGCTTGTTATTATTCTCGATGATGATAGAGCAAGATCGGAGTGGCTTATGGCCAGCAGCATCATTACACTACACTGGGTGGACCTGAAAAGAAAATTTCTGGTAGCATCATCACAGATGGTGATGGGTTCTCCTTGCTACTTCGAGTGCACCGTGTTGTGGTTGCGTGTGCCGACAGGGATTTTGTTTGCTTCGTCTTGTGAAGTCTCTCAAGTTTGATTCCTTGCATCTGCCAGCTGCTTGTCTTAGCCCATGCGCTCTTGAATCCAAAAACAAAGGCGATGAAAGATTGAAAGGAAGGAAGGAAGGAAAGAGAGAAAGAAATATTCTGAAATGAAGGTAAGAGAGAAAAAGGTAACCAACCCCAAGTGCTAAGGAATGTGATCTTGGTTGATATTCACCACATATATAATAACCTAATCCTAACTAAATTTAGGATATCAAGAGAATGTGACCTTAGTTAATATTCACCACATATATAATAACCTAATCCTAACTAAATATAGGTTATTAAGAAGATAATGATGCGAGCAAAGTTTTGCAGCAGATCCCTAGCTTTGTCATCACTGCATGCTGCATTGCTTCGCATCATATTATCCCTTCCTTGTCCTCGGAATCTCACCGGCAATTCCATCGTCTCGACGTGTTTTAATACCCAAGCTTCCAGCCCTCCATCAGTGCTTCCCTCTTCATCCCTTGTCTCGAGATGATGCATGTCCATCCAAGTTTAACCGCTTCCAGATTGTGTGTTTCCGCCGTGCATCCCAAAGGCCTCTTACCTTGTTTACCGACGAGGAACGGGTGCAGCAGGAAGCCTGGCAGGTCTCTAGTACTACCTGTAACTGCAGCCAAGTCCTCATCGGACATTGGAGGGATCAATCTTCGCCACCTTGAAAGGGCCATAAGGCTGCATTCAGCTATCTCCAACAGAAGCATCAAGGAATTCGTAGAGCTGATCGGTGATGAATGCCGACACTGTTTTACGTCTCTTCCAGCTGAGCCTTTGGAGCTAAGTAAGGTGAAACTTTACCTAACTCCATTTTACATGCCTGCGCCGATAACTCTTTGGTGAAGAATGAGTTGGTTTGTTGTAGAAAGCATTCCAAATGTTGCACTCTTTCATGGTGTACAACAGCGTGATGTTGGTGATCAAACCAACGGCGGACTATGGCGTTGATATTGGCATTAGATGGATCGCAAGTATGTTTACTAAAACCTTCAGTTTCTTGAAATATATATATGTATATATATATATATATATATATATATATATATATATATATATATATATATATATATATATATATATA